TCATGCAGTCATCCTTTAACAGTAAAAGCTTAACTAACCCGCATACTCGGAAATTCCCGAATATTCCGGATAGTAATTGGAAAAAGAGAAGTGGGGGAGATTGTAGCCGTTCTTTAGATTTAAATTTAGGCTAAATAAATGATTTTGACATTTCCATATGTGCATCATATAAAAACCAACGGAACTGAGAAATATTCTGCTTCGAAAGCACAGTAAAACTCTTTTAAGTGTTCATAAACAAATCTCAGACTGAACATCAAAATTAATTATCAATGCAAAATACCGCAAACGTTATTGCGAAATACGTGCGGCATAATTCTTCCATATGTGATATTAAGCAATCGAAATCAACACCTGCCGGTATTCGGAAGAAAAAAAAACTAAATAAAGGAAAAGAAAGAGACTTACTAATCTGGGGTGTTTCTGATTCTAATTTTCAACAGACTGTATTAAATTTCCGGAATAGAAATCAATCTTCGCTTGGGTTGGGTAGACCGCAAAAACTTTTCGTCCTATTCAATCCAGATTGGACAGTGACAAAAAAAAAAAAAAATCCGCTGCTTCAATATTAGAGATTTTGCGGAGAAACTCCCAACCCCCGTACTGTATAATGTATTGGCAAAGAAAATGAAATTATTTTGACTATTCAATTACTTTCCTTTTATTTAGGCCATTCCGAATATTATTTCTTAGAAAGCTAATCTGTGTAAAAACACACCCATTTTGGAAGTTTATCTATACTTCAGCAGTTACTGCAACTATATTATTATAAATATTCATACATATGCTTGTAATATAACTATCATAATAAACACGAATATGAACTGACTATGCGGAATGAGAATGCAAATTATTAAAATCTTGATAGAAATTCAAATGTGTGTAGTATTTGGTTGGAAGGAAAAGAATACCGAATGTATCGGAATTTTCTACGTTTTCGCAATTCTTTGGCCAATAGAACAACGAGCACCTGTCTGTACTCTCGCGCGCACCATAGGTTACATTAATGCAGAGGAAGGGGGGAAAAGCAATTTTCGGGAGTATGATTCACCATCTGACATTGCATATAAGGAAGAAAAGTTGTTTATTTAGTTTCGGCTTTGGTACGGGAAAAAAATGCGCGTTCATTAAAAACAAAGGATTAAAAAAATAGCACTAAAAGCAAGAAATAAGCACTAAAAACAAAAAATAAGGGTTTTAAAGAAAAAGTAAGCACCTATAAGGGCCTTTATATTTTATTTTAAAATATAAGGACTTATACGCACTTGTAAGGACCGCTACGAACCCTGTCTTTTTATTTTCTCCTCTCAACAAAATATTTCCTGGAAGATACCGAATTTGCAAACAAGCCACGTAGGTTTAAAAACACGGACAATTTTCCCCAATCCATTAGCAGAATCCCACAAAAGAACGCACTCTCCTGGGTGTCATAAGATAGTCATCAAGCCTCAAGTGCTAAAATTCCTACCCCTGCCACCAATGGCAAACTGTCCCAAGCCCCAGTTGTTGTATCCTTAGCACGGGACACATATGTCCCAGCCCCCGGGAAAAGGTTAATGGATTGTGCAACGGCCCTGATTCCAGGCCAGAATTGCCACATTTGTATTTAACTTGAATGTTCACATTCTAAAACTCTTAATTCTGTTTTATACAGTTTCGAAGTATAAGGAAAAACTAAGTTTCCAGCTGCAATATTTTCCTTTATTGCTTTCACAACAGAATACACTCTTCTATACTGGTTTTAACAAGAGAACATTTTCTAGTCACTAATCCACCAAACACTGGTTGCTCTGGAAACATTCTATTCACCTGATTTTGCTTTTTTAAAATTTTTTTTCATAAAAGTTATTTTTGTCTGCTAACAGTTTTTTTGGTGGGGGGAGGAGAGGGATGATGATCTGAATATCTGTAGAAACTTCTCACCAGTAATTGTTTTAATCAACTACCACCTTCTCAGCCAAATACGACTCCTCTTTTCTCTAAGCATGCATGCAATAGATGTTAATTTTCAGAACAATATGTATGCCATTGTTTGTCAATGCTCCTGTGCCCACTGGCAACCACTTTTTTTTTTAATGGCACATAAATTGAGTCCCAAATTTTAATAATTTTTCTACAAGTGAAACATAAAGAGAATGATTAATATTGTTCAAATGCTACTTAAATACTTAACAGTGCTTACATGCTCTACAACACAAAGAGAAAAAATTCTTACTTTTAGGGTTACCTATATCTAGAAATTTCTGCAGTCATTACAAAGCATATGTTATATATAAACTCACTCACTCTGAAATATACACAGATTTTCCTAGTTGACAGGATAATATGAAAGAAACCAAGGTTTATACATATTTATATATCATATTTCCTAGCATATCTTTCCCATTTTTTACTAATTTTATAATCTGAAAATCAAAAGAGGAAAATTATGCAAAGAATTTAATTTTCAAAAGACGCAGTTAGAGTAATAACATGATAAATGAAAAGTAGTCACGGATAAACTACAGATAACTATCAGAATATTACTTAAAAAAAATCTACATTCCAATAAAAATACACAGGAATACAGTACAAAGTCTGTACTCCAGACGTCCATTATCCAGAATGATCTATAATCCGGACCTCAAAGCCACAAACTTTATGCATGCGTGTAGAGAATGCGCATACATTACCAACGTATGCTTTACGCATGCGTGCGTTGAAAGAAATGTTTTATGAAGAAAATAAATATTAAGCTTTTTTTTTTGTAAAATTTGACACCCTTTAGATGATAATTGCTTTTTATTTCATAAATTACGGTTTCATATTTTTAATAGTATAATTTATGCATGCCATCTTACCAGATTTAAATTGATGATCTATAATCTGGAAAAACTCCTAATCCGGAATCGCCAAAGCCCCGGCGAGTCTGGATTATGGACTTCATACTGTATTAACATTACAATACATAATAAGACAACTTCATTTCTACTTTCTTGTAACTAGAATGTTATCTCCCCCCTTTTTTTTGGTTGTTGTTGCCTGTTACATAGACATCTAATCATCCATAAATAATTAGTGAAGGTGAGTGCAGCTGAGTGAAATTGTAGACCAAATTTCAGTTTGTGATTGGTTGATTCTTGTATTAAACTGGTATAAGGTTCAACAGGTAGAAGAAAAAGGTTCGGTGCGACCTTTCGAAGTAGTTTCAAATGTTTGCCTTCATTCCGCGAAAAAACAAATTAGTTCCAATTATATTTGGCACTGTGTAATAGAAAATAGAGTGTCAACAAATGCAAATTATACGGAATAAAATTACCTTTTATTATGCACATTTTCTGATTTAGTTCAAGTGCAATATGGCAATACTTTTAAAAAAGCATAAAATCTGCATAAACACCAATAAAGTCTCGTGATCTACAATATCACGTACGCTGAGCAGAAGAAGTTCTTTATTCAAATTTCACGTTACATCCATTCGCACAGTGCCAGCTGCTTGGGTTTTAAAAGACAATGTGTTATGTTTCGAATCAATCGGATTGAAAGTTTATGTGCAATGTCTCCTTCTTTAGTCGAGCGTGCGTTACTAGTCAAATTCTTTTACCTCAACCAGTGCAATGTGTCAGCCGCTCTTCGTGCTTTTAGAACACACAAAAAAATGCATAAAGGTAACGGTCCTTTATCAGTTAATGGGCTAAAAGAAATGGTTGTAACATTTGAGAAAACAGGTTATCTGAAGGTTCAGTCAGGCAGAGGACGCAAACCTGTACCACAGGATAAAATCGAAACAGTTGCCACGGCGACTGTCGACAGAGGACCAGACAATATTGCTGCCCCCTCTAGCGCTCGTGGAGTAGCTTGGAATATGGATATGCCTTACAGTACGGTATGGAAAATCTTACGAAAGATTATCAACTTCTATCCGTACAAGATCAGCCGTGTACAGGAGTTACTGTACCCCGACCATGATAAGCGATTGACTTTTGCTCTCACCTTTCTTGCCAGAATGGAGGTGGATGATGCTTGGCCATGGAAAATCTTATGGTGAGACGAGGCCCACATTTACCTTAATGGAACTGTGAACACCCAGAACTGCCGAATTTGGGATGACAAATCACCACATGCAGTCACAGCAATTCCCTTACATTCACCAAAGGTAACTGTTTGGTGTGGGTTCACAGCGGAATTTATCGTAGGTCCATTCTTCTATGAGAACATTACCCCGACAGGACCGGAAACCTGTTCTGTTACCGGAGAGAAATATCGTCACACGTTGAACAGCTTTGTCATTCCGGCACTTCAGCAAAGACAATGCCTGGGTGAAATCATTTTCATGTAAGATGGAGCCCCTCCACACGTTGCTCTATGGGTGAAACAGATGCTACAACAGAAAGAGTCATTAGCCTCTACTTTCCAACTCTATGGCCACCTCGGTCACCTGATCTTACCCCATGCGACTTCTGGCTATGGGGTTACCTTAAGTCCAAGATCTATCAAGGAGTGGTCCAGGACCTGGCTACGTTGAAGGATAACATATCACGGACTGTACGGGAGATTCCTGCAGACATGTTACTTTCTGCTGTTGTGCATACTGTGCACAGAATGCAATATGTGGTCCACAACAACGGCAGCCACATTGAACCTCATTTGAATGCAAAATAAAAGGTAATTTCCGTATTGATTTGCATTTGTTAACACTCTATTTTCTATTACACAGCGCCAAATATTCCCCTAGCGGTGACTTTTGGAACTAATTTTTTTTTCGCGGAATCCTTCGTCCCCCCGTCTTGTTTAATCTTCCTACAAAATGTGGCGTCATTCTCACAAATAGATCGCGCTACAGAACACTGTGAGCACTGTCAGTTTTAATTATGGCATCGTACATTTTTTTTTATTAAATTACCTAAAGTATATGGTATTTATTAAAATTTTTTCAATTAATGTTTATAAATAAATTTACTTTCGGTTCAAATTTTGAGTGACAAACAGATGTAATTTTCATTGCTTTCTGTATTGCAATTAAGTCTGCTGCAAGCCAGTCACAGTCAGCTGTATTAGTAAAAAGAAGAGATGCATTAATTATAATATTTATAGTTAAAATTATTTTCTTTTTTAGCCACTATATGCAATACTTACTTTACAATTGTTAAGTAATTTACTTCCACTTGTAGCGTGAAAAATAGTATCTAACTTCTTTTTATCTATTTTAGAATGAAAGAATTTGCAAGGATCCTGCAAAGAAAAAACAGAACAAAAATTTAAATTTCAACAACTTTTCCATAAACAATCAGATATGGTACTTATGCGTTAGGTGAGTACAGGTATGGATGCAATTAATAAATCACCAAATACGGTTTATAAGCCTGCAAATACCAATATAGTGATAAATCAAAAACTTAGTATCATAACAGCAAAAATTTATTTAAATAACTTATATTTGTAATAAATTTATGAACAAGCACCACTTTATATAAAACCTTTATTACCATAATTTCTGGAAGAAAGGCCGCATCAGCTTAAACGGCGCACTCGAGAAAATGGCGGGAAAAAAATTTAAATTACACAAAAATGCCGCATCAGCGTAAATGCCGCAATAGATTAAATTGCACGTGACATTGTCATGGGCCATATAGATGCAAAATCTCAACCTATGTCCAGATATATAACATATCATTTAAGAAAAATGCATGAAATGAAACCATAACTCAGAAATAAATTAAAGGTAAGAAATGTTGAAAATATATTTACGTTCACGAATATACTTATATTTACCCACTAAAGAAGTCCATATTTGTAATACTCAGATTATATTATAAAAAATGTTGCAACAACGAAATATTAAATTTGGATGACAAGAGAAAATTTTAAATTTTACTTACAAAAGGAATTACAGCAAACCATACATCATATGAAACCATCAAAATCTGATTCTTCACTATTTGAATAAAAAAGATTTAGTAAATCCTGATCTAAGTCCAAGTCTTCCAGATCTTCACATTCATCTTCTTGGTTTACAGTCTCTTTATCTAAGGATATAATTTCAGCTTCTTTGAACCCTGATATTATTGACGACGTTTTTACTGATTTTCACGCACTTCCTACCCACTTTGAACTTCTTCATAAGATGCTCTATGCATTTTACCACTTTTGGTATACGTATGCAATCCTTCACTCATCCAACACTCCCACCGCTTTCGGACTTTAGCTTTGAAGGATTTATTACCTGACAAATCTAATGGTTGTAAGATTTTTGTCAAACCACCAAGAATTATTGCTACGGTCGTAGAAAATTTTTGACATCTGGTTTCCACGGACTCAAGTAAATGAGCACGCATGGAATCCATTATCAATAATTCTTTTGGTTGGAAAAAAAGATTCCTTACGACACTGCCAAACTTTTTGTAGCCACTCATGCATGATTGTTTTGTACATCCAGCCGTTCTTGTTTGCACAAATAATTACATCATTAGGAAAATCTTCCTTTGGAATAGTTTTTTGTTTAAAAATTATCATCCACTTTAGCTTGTCACCATTTGCGGCACAAGCTAACACACATGTAAATGACGTTCTTTCATGCCCCGTCGTAAGCACAGATACAGTTTTTGCACCAGTTTCATCAACAGTTCTGTTTGCAGGAGAGTCGAAAGCTAACGGCATTTCATCCATATTTATTATCTGTGACCGAAGTTTTTTTTTTTTTTTTGTCAGTAATATCTGCGACATATTTTAGAAAAGATGCCTTTTTATCCTGCCAGTCCATTGGTAATTGTTGCCCAACTGTTGTTCTAGTATGCAAAGAAATATTTTTTCTTTTTATAAATCTGCTACACCAGCAAGGCCCTCCTTTGAAATCATTTATATTAATTTATTTTGCTATAAATGTTGCTTGTAAGCGAATTTTTACAGTCAAAATTGCCATACCCTTTCCTCGTTGTTTCTTTATCCAGTCTGCAATGTCGTCCTCTAGATTCGGCCACCTTACCACAGTACCACTTCTTTTGGCTCGTTTCTGTTGTGGAATATTTTTAAGTTCTTTTTCAGTTCTCCAACGTCGAATGCATCTCTCGTCCACTTCAAACTCTCGATCTGCTGCTCTATTTCCAATTTGTTCAGCACGTGAAATTACATTAAGCTTAAAACCAGCAGTATAGCTGCTGTGCTGTTTAGGTGCCATTTTAAAAAATTTGACACTCCCTTCTTACTTAAAAACTATCCAACAAGTACTTGTACCCAAACTGATGGGATCTGTATCTGGCAGAATGCCAAGAAAAATCGATTCATGCTGAAAGGAAAATACCTCAGAGTTCGTTATTGCGAGGCAGGTGGAGTCGCATCCGCCTTTGAAAAAATTTGCAGAAAAAGGCAGGGGTGGGGAGAGGATGGGTCCTGGAAGATTCATCAAACGAAGGGCAGAGGAGAGAGACTATTCAAAATGATGAGAATGCTGATTTGAAAGGGGGAAGAATGTTATTGTTCTGAGATCCCGTTTAGGGTGAATAAGGCATGTAGGTCCATTCAAAGGAAAGAATGTAAACTAAATAACGTTCGCAAAAAGCAACTGAGTGGTCTTTTGTGTGGGAATACATAGAATAGTCTATGTACAATGGCAAGGCCATCCAAACTATGTACAATGACAAAGTTATTCAAATTATGTACAATGACCTTCATAGGAAATACTTTATTTTTAGTGCACCTAAACGCCGCATGGGCAGAAATGTTGCACCTGCTGAAAATTTAAGTTTTAAGCGTATAAACGCCGTGGTGTTTCTTCCGGAAATTACGGTATATAAAATTTTAAGAATGAAAATTTGGGACTTACTTTCCTCAGCGGAAGAAGCTATGAACTTTTTACATGAGAAGAGAATTTAATACTTACTAGTTACACCAACTCATATCTTCTTGGCAATAATTTTTTGAAAATATATCATATCTTCTCATAACTCATATCTTCTTGGCAATAATTTCTGGAAAAACACTCCAGTGACATTTTGGTAACCCTTACCTGCCACTGCATAGAATATTCTTTCCAAATAATTCTGTAAATGTTATTGAATGGCTGATCACACAATCTGAAACTGCCTCCATTAAAGTTTTTGCTGTTCTGGGAACTACTCTTATATGTGCTCTCAGGTCGCCAAATTTCTCCTATGGTGCCATATTACTATCTAAATTTTTTGTTTACATTTCGAACTTTAAGCCTAAAATGTCTTCAAAAATCGCGGTTTTCGCACATGGAAAAAAAAAAAAAAAAAAAAAAAAAAAAAAAAAAAAAAAATTTGAACACACAATTTAAGCTAAAAATCTGAAACAAAAACACAAAAAACTTAGATAGCAAAAATGTAAAGTTTCTAACCAAAAATATTTGACAAGAATCCATGTACACAGCGATATGTTTTAACTTAAAAAAACATCTACGAATTGCACAATCTAGGCAGCGAAAGAATCTATGAACTATGCACACCTCGCTTTAACAAATCAACATAACAAAAATAAATTTCAAAGAATACCATGTACACAGCATTCTGTTTAAACTTAAAAAAACATCTACGAATTCCACAATCTAGGCATTGCGCACAAATCAACAAAATAAACTAAAATAACTAAAATAAATTACAACCAATTCAAAAACAACAGAAATTCCTAGTGAAAAAACAATGAACATAACATTCTACAAAATAAAAACAATAAAATAAAACACACTTACCATAATACATACGTGAATAAAATTTCGCCAGTCACACAACGTCTGTCAACAAAAGTCCCACGATTATGCTATATCACATAAAAACTTCCTCTAAAGTTAAATTACTACAAGAAAACCACAATCCAAATCTTAAACTCTACTGACAGCCATATACTTTAGTAGCAACCATTTGACTGCAAACCCACACAAGTCTATATCAGAAACACCATTCTTCATCCGACTTCTCATATCAGCTCCGCATTTTGGACACGCCAAACTGCGTTTTAAAAGTCCTGACTCTCACAGAAATTCCAAAAATGCACTTCTATCCGCATAAACACACCCGTGAACAAAAGACTCGTTAACAACTCCAACATCGTACCTTTTAATACTAAATTTACTTTTCACACAATCTAAAATATGCGACTGAAATCTTGCCACGTCTCTAAGTTTCAACGTCAAAAGGGTTGCCATACAAACAGCATCATCCAGCAAACTATCCCACAACACGGAACCGCACCAAAACCCAGTGCAGAACACATATCGTCATATTTGGTGATCTTAGGGCGCATATAAGAGTAGAGCCCTGTTCTGTTTCAACCATTAAAAAAAAAAAAAAAAAATACATATTCACTTTTACAAATACTATAGACAAACCATTGTTCAGGTCCCGCATGTTTTTCCATTTTGCACAACTACATGCAATCGTAAAAATAAAGTTTTTATAAGAACATTTCTCATACTTTTTTCCTGTATAACATGCAATTCTTTTAAAGTAAATTTTAATTTGTTGAATTACTTTGTTCTTATTTTCTATTTGTGATTTTACACCCTGGCTATTTTCATGGTAAAAAATAATCTCCAAGAATATGTTATTTAATATAACTAAGTATTGAAAATTCTGCTAGTATTAACTTTTTAGGTTCATGATAAAATATACCATATTTAGTGATTAATCATGTTTTTTTCCAATGCATCATGAAATTATTGAATTTTTGTCAGTAGTATACAATGATTAAATTTAAATACATATTAAATATGAAAATTCAATAACAGACTCTCAAGCTGAATTACTAATTAATTTTGAAAAGCAAGCACTTTTCATCTCATATGAATATACACATTTTTAAACAGCAAAATTTATATTTAATTATCAGAGAAAAACACAAATGCTAATGAAGAAAAATTAAATATATCTATCACTTTTAGGAATATACCTTTCAATAATGATATATTCTAAAGGATATAAAATTAAAACTTTTAATTCAATCATTTAAGGAATTTCATGGCATGTTTTCAAATACCATTTACACTCTTGATGGAAAAGAAGAAATATTTTTTTTTAGTATATGAATTTTAGAGAATAACAGAAAATCTTCTAAAAGAGCACTTCTTAAAATTCTCCCTCCTTCCTCATTGGTAAAATTCTTGAAATAATATTTATATCTAAGAGATATCTTAGATAAGCATCACATTTGCAATAGCAATATGGATCATGCATCTGCATACGCAAGCGTATTCATAATAATTTCTCATGGAACACAAGTTGAGAAACAATATTCTAAAATATATTATTTTGTAACTTACTTCAGATGCTGGTAATTTTTCCCCAATTAATGAATAACCAAGGACAGCATAATGGGCTGTTGTAAGGTCAGATAATGGAAAAGCAGTGGATAAAACTTTTTTAAGCCTCTGTTGATCAGCAGTTGTGAGGAAAGTTGTAGGCGTTAAAGCATTGGCAATAACACATAACAGAACAAATGTGCAAACAGAAAACAAAATTTTACCTGAAATAAAAAATATCAGTTCAAATTATTTGGTCCATGGATTGTATGAATGCAAAATTTTATATAATAGGTTTTACAGGGGAAAATAAATACAGTACAAAGTTCAAGATCTGGACTCGTCGGACTTCGATTTCGTATTTTTTTTTTTAGATTAAATCGTCAATTTAAATCTAGCACGATATTTAGAAATTATAAATGAAAAATATGAAATAAGAATTTATTTGGTTTTAGTTGATTATGGCAAAGCTTACTAGGGCTACCTGCTTAACACTTTGCGGGCCGCTGTCACGCTGGCGTGACTTTTGCTCGGCAACGGTTATCGGCCGCTGTAACGCTGGCATGACTTTTGCTCGGCAACAGTTATCGGCCGCTGTCACGTACGCGTGATTTATTTTCGCCAACGACGATGCTTCACATCAACGTTTGTATAGATAGACATACTACAGTCAAAAGTCTTTAATCCGGACTCGTCGGGACTTCGGCGATTCCGGATTATAGATCATCAGTTTAAATCTGGTAGATGGCATGCAGAAATTATAAAATTAAAAAATACGAAACCGTAATTTATAAAATAATGAGCAATTATGATCTAAAGGGTATCCAAATTTACCAAAAAAAAAGAAGCCTAATATTTATTTGTTTACTTTATTAAACATTTCTTTTAATGCGCGGATGCGTAAAAAGCATACCTTACTCATAGCCGAAATTAGAAAATTTGCAACCAGAAAACTATGTGATTTGTATTCGTGATATTTATAATGACGAGGAATTTGATTTAAATCATATCAAAGACGGAGTACATCGAAAAATTAAATACTACATTTAGTAAGGAATTATAAGCCGACTAAAATAAAAACATCTGCCATGAAGATAACGATAGTAGTGTTGACAAGATCAATTTCCAGTTCATTGCGCGCCGCGACGTGCCCCCCCCCCCTGCGCAGGAGCAGCGTTGAAATTGATATAAACAGATTTTGGAACGGGTTAGATAAACAAAGGATATACTTTTATCCATTTTTTGTAGCAATTCGTTTTTTTTGTTTGATGGACATCGAAAAACATACTTTCGTTTTCCAGATCCTTTGGGGAGCTCCAGCATCGGAAATTCTATTTGACATAATCGAAAGTTCAAGCTTACTTTTAGAAAAATTGCTCTTACAGTCTGCAAAAAATAATAAAGCCGGATCCAATTTGAAGATTAAGGAACAACGCAATTATCAACAATAACTGAAATAGATAATTAGATAATTTAGCTTTTACCGTCCGTTATACATTAAACGCGCACGCGAAAACGTATTCTGCACTTGCGCAGATGCATATGCCAGTCGTAAATGTCTTGCGCGCACGAGTAAAATGCCTATGCGCATGCGTCAATGTGGTGCATGCGCAGAAAGATTTTAGCTTTGAGGTCCGGATTATAGATCATTCCGGATTACGGGTGTCCGAATTAACGACTTTTGACTGTATAGCAAAACATTTAATGATCAGGAAACATTGGTTTCAACTGTTTTCCTCTCCCAATTCACCAGACTGTCTATTATTGAAATCTTTTTTCGTGGATGCTTGTTTTGTTAGTTTGAGACTGTCTTTCGCTGCCTTCAAATATCGGAAACTTAGGTTAGATTTAAAGATATCCTTCAAATTGCTCTTTGATGAGGAAATATATGCTGATCTGTTATCAAATTGCTCGGATAGTGAAAGTGATTCGGACAGTGGGAGCGATATAATTGCGAGACGATTCAAAAATAAGGGAAGACCAATAATTAGTGAACCTGAAAGTGATGAAGAGAATTCTGTGGCAAATGATTGGTCAGAAGTTGATTTTAAACCTAACTTTCATGCTTGCCTGGAACGGTTTGGGTTACAGGTACCACATACACCAGATATATTATCAACTGTGGAATTGTTCATTGGGGACGATTTATTTAATTTGTTTGCCACACAAACAAACTTATATCATAATCAGCAGAATAATGATACAACACATTGAATCAAAAAGAATAAAGCTTGGATTGATACAAATGTTGTAGAAATGAAAAAACTTTTGGGGTTTGTTATCCTAATGGGAATAGTAAGAAAACCAGAACAAGATGATTATTGGTCTACTCACCCTGGATTACATACACCTATTTTTGGGAATACTATGCCAAGGAACAGATTTCAGCAGTTATGAAAGTATTGGCACTTCAGTAATAATGAGCATTGCCAAGAAAAACTTGATAAAATAAAACCAGTTTACTCGTACCTGGTAGAAAAGTTTCTAAATTTTATAAACCTGAGAAAGAATTATCGCTGGATGAAGGTATCATTCCATGGAGGTGCAGGCTATATTTTCGTACATATAATTCTGCGAAAATTATAAAATATGGAATTTTAGTCCGTATGGTGTGTGAAGCAACATCTGGTTATATATGCAATTTAGAAATATATTGCATGCAAGAAAAATCGCTAATTGCAACAATATTGTCCGGGCTATTGCCATATTTAAATTTATGGCACAATGTATATGTGGACAACTATTACAATAGTTTAAAGGTTGCAGAGGAGTTACTAAAGCATAAAACAAACATCTGTGGCACAATTAGAGTAAACAGAGGAGTGCCAAATTGTTTAAAATCTGCTACATTGAAAAATAAGTCAATGGAATTTCGTAGAAATGGAAAATTATGGTACAAAAATGGGAATTCGGCCAAAAAACTGATAATGATGATTTCTACGATACATTCAGCAGACATGGTCGAATGTGTAAGTAAAAGAACCAAAAAGAAGTGCATTAAACCAATTTGCATACAAGAGTATAATAAATTTATGAAAGGTGTTGATCACGCCGATCAATACCTATCATGTTATTCCATACTTCGCAAAACAAACAAAAACAAAAAAAAAAAAAAAAAAAAAAAAAAAGGTTTTATATCTCATAAAATGTGCATTACTCAGCGCATTCTAGATATACATAAAAAATTCTGAAAATCCTATTAGATTCAAACAATTTTTACTAAACCTTGCATTAGCATGGATTAATGGGAATGAAGAGGAGCAACAATCAAGATCGGCTGCTCAATGTGATGAATGATCGCCGAGGTTTGATCCACCAGGCAGACTAACTACGGACATGAGAAAACATAGAATAACACGTCAGTCAATGGAATTTCGTAGAAAATGGAAAATTATGGTACAAAAATGGAATTCGGCCAAAAAACTGATAATGATGATTTCTACGATACATTCAGCAGACATGGTCGAATGTGTAAGTAAAAGAACCAAAAAGAAGTGCATTAAACCAATTTGCATAAAGAGTATAATAAATTTATGAAAGGTGTGATCACGCCGATCATACCTATCATGTTATTCCATACTTCGCAAAAAAACAACAAAAAAAAAAAAAAAAAAAAAAAAAAAAAAAAAAAAGGTTTTATATCTCATAAAATGTGCATTACTCAGCGCATTCTAGATATACATAAATCCTATCTGAAAATCCTTCAAACAATTTTTACTAAACCTTGCATTAGCATGGATTAATGGGAATGAAGAGGAGCAACAATCAAGATCGGCTGCTCAATGTGATGAATGATCGCCGAGGTTTGATCCACCAGGCAGACTAACTACGGACATGAGAAAACATAGAATAACACGTATTAGTGGTAATGGGAGAATTCAAAACCCACGAAAGGCCTGTAAAGTCTGCACTGTCGAAAAGAAAAGAAGTTCCACTACATACATGTGTTCTTCCTGCAACGTTTCTCTGCATGTTGGAAAATATTTTCAGAATTATCATACTAAAAAGAACTATGGATCCTAGGAGTTAAATTTTTTAAATAAAAAATTTTAGTACTAATTAAAAAACATAATTGGAATAAAAATGGAATAAAAATAGTTATTTTACACAGTTATTTTAGTGCTTCTTTAATAATAATTATATACTAACTACTTATGTTTCGAAAAATTGCATAAATTTTTTCAGTTTTTGTGGAAAAAAAAAAAAAAAAAAAAAAAAAAAAAAAAGAAAAATAAAAAAAAAAAAAAAAAAAAAAAAACAAAAAAAAAAAAAAAAAAAAAAAAAAAAAAAAAAAAAAAAAAAAAAAAAAAAAAAAAAAAAAAAAAAAAAAAAAAAAAAAAAAAAAAAAAAAAAAAAAAAAAAAAAAAAAAAAAAAAAAAGAAGCTCAATTTTTATTTACTTCCTTCCCTATATTCTAAAAAAAATTGTCACATTTAAATTTTGCACCCCAGCATTAAATGCAATCTTCTAGCACGTGAGTATTATTTAAAAAATCTATCTTTTGCATACAAAGAAAAAGTTCTCTTAAAATTTCTCCTGTATAATTGTGGCAACCCTAATGCAAGAAAGGAAGTATAATAGTAAATAACTATCTAAGATTGATGTTTCCATTTAGATGAAAAGTTAATTTCATATAATACTTTTTTATTATTATAATTTATATAAAAAAGGCTTAACATGACTGAATGGAAGCATAAGAGTAAATAACTATTTCAGATCATTATTATAATTTATATAGAAATTTCTAAACATAACTGAATGAATGTCTGCATTGCTATTTCGCTACTGAGTTATTGCTAAAGCATAATTTCATCTTGTTGGTTGTCCAAACGTAATTTTTTATAATGAATGATGCCTTTTCTTTGAAAAAATTCTTGGTAAAGCGCAGAATCGCCCACTTATTTGTTTGCCGCTTTTTACAAGGGTAAAAACAATTGGATATTTGTCAATTTTCTTTTACTTTTTAAGTGAAAATAGGTCGATGTGTACATAGATAAAGTCAAGGGTGTGCGCAGTGCCATTTTTGTTCAATTCTGGGATTTTCTTTTAAAGTGAAAATAGGTCGATGTGTACATGGATACCGAGTATGTGCAGTTCTTAAAAATGCATCAAGCAGTGGGGGATTCTGCACTTTACCCAAAATTCTATTGCAGACTTTTCATCATGGGCAATTCCCAAATTGTTAAATCCATAGGATATCAAAAAAGGATTTAAAAATTAAATT